CCCCTCCTGGCGTGCTACCAGGGAAACCCCCAGGTGCACCACCCCTAGGCGCACCTCCAGGTGCACCTCCAGATGCACCTCCAGATGCTCCTCCTGGAAAGCCTCCACCCATGCCTGCTGGGAAGCCTCCAGGCATGCCCCCTGGAAACCCTCCACCCATGCCTGCTGGGAAGCCTCCTGGCATTCCTGGAAACCCTCCTGGCATTCCTGGAAAGCCACCAGGCATTCCTCCTGGAAACCCACCAGGCATGCCTCCTGGCCTTCTACTAGAAGATGACTGCTCTTGCTTCTTAGCCTTCTCATACGCAGCCTTGAAAAGAACACACCAAAATATCTTAATCTGCCAAAAACAAGATAGCATAATCTTTTCAAGGGAATGAACTTCTAGATAGTTACCTGAGCTTCAGCACGGCGGCGTTGTCTCTCGCGTTCAATCCTTTTATCCTCCCTTTCTTTGCGAAGCCTATCATACTTCCGACGGTGTTCCTCAATCCTGTGCACATTTGGTTCAACCTACACAGTTGAGGAGTTGACATTAGAGGGAAACACAAATCCTCAAACACAAAAATACACAATCCAAGAGTTGCAGTAAGCTAATGCATGTGAGCACATCATATTCTTCCACAATAGTGTTAAGTCTTTTTTTTTCTTTTCCTTGTTCTCCCATTAGAATTCCATGTAAGATACCTCATCTGTGAATCATAGCCATACTCTAATAACATCGAGTATTTGAACTTCATAGATTTAACCCTCAATAACATCAAGTATTTGGGCTTCACAAATTTAATCAGTGATACAGTGCTCCTCAAAATCCCAAAACCCATGGTTATTCACTAAACCAGGCGTGGCTGGCAGTTTATTTGGGTTCACACAATAAAGGATAAATAAAGGCAAAAGGCAACAAACTTATCCATGTATGATAGATGATAAATGAATGCAAAAAATACAAGAAACAACAAACTACAGTTACTTGATAAACCAGAGGGATAAAGTGAGAGAGAAACCTTCTTAAGTACAGCACTTATTTCTTCATCATAATCTAACTTCGATGCCAAGTGAAGATCCTTGGCAGCCTCTTCCCATTGACCAAGCATTGCTCGTGCTATGCCGCGAGACTTGTAGCCTTTAGCAGAGTCAGGATTGATCTGAGATGAAGATTACAAGTTAAAATTCATGTTCACCTTCTCAAAACGTCATGTTACACCTAGCACGTAGATAAAAACTAAAATCCCAAAACTCATGCAAGCAGAACTATACAAAAGGCCACAACTGTAATGAAATGAAATTATATGACCTAAGAAAACATATTTTATTTTCATTTGATTGTAAAAGCAAAGCAAGACACATGATAATGCTGACTAACACGCTATGTTGAATTAAACACTTCACCAAGTGAGCAAACAAAACATGCACAAAGCCTATATATAAACAAATGTAGATTCTACAAAGGGAAAATCAGACATCATATAAAAACAAACAAGGTGTAGGACAACAACCTCTAGAGCAGCATTGGCATCACGAATAGCGGCATTAGGTTTCTTCATTTTGATGTACACACTAGCTGTTAAGTAACAAATTAAAAGAGTTCAGAACCAAACACAAGGAAATAAACTTTCAAATTCAAAGAAAGAAAACAATCCCTATGACTATAGGAGAACCAAAAGCTCAGACCTCTGGTGCCATACATAATTGCTGAAGTAGGGTTGAGCAAAATTGCCTCCGTGAGATGCTCAATCGCTTCCTCCAAGTTACCTGCATTGCATAAAGTCCATCAAATCCTCAAGCAAGCCCTCAATTCACAAACAAACACGCACTATACAACTAGTAATATACCTTCTGAAATGGCCTCGACAGCTTTGGATTTTGCTGCCTGAGAGGCCTCGCGGTTTTCATCACTGACCTCAACCGACGCGTCTCCCATCTGCAAAATCATCCAAACCATGAATATACAAAAAGAAAAAAGTTTGAAAATCATACACATACTAATAACTAAATCACTAGAACTGAAACTAATTGAAAAGTAACCTTCTGAGGAGGTTCATTGTCAGGCTCCACAGTGTCGCCCTCGAGCTCAACGTCAGATTCGATTATCTCATCTTCCTCTTCTTCTTCGACATGGACTTGAGCGGCTTCAGCGTCCGCCATGTCGTCGTCGCTCTCCTCCACCACATAGCTCTTCTAAGCTCGCAAAATCCCTCAATCAGAACGCATACATATAGGGCATACAAAATAGACATTAGAAAGTGAATGAGAGAGAGAGAGAGAGAGAGAGAGAAAAGTACCGATTTGGAATCGCCGTGACTGTGAGAATGGGCAGGGATCGTAGCGCCGAGACTGAAACGAAGAAACGAATCGATTTCAACTTTTGTGGAGATTTAACAGCGAAGCAGATATCGAAATGGTTTGTGTAAAACAATTGAAAAAGAAGATAAATGGATTTTTACCTTTCGAGGTAGTCGCGGAAGAAGGAGAGCGAAGGATCGCTAAGAACGCAGGGATCGGCCTTGCACTGTTCGACGAAATGCTTCAGTTGGTTCAGCTTCGCCTCGTCCATTGTAAAAGCTTGAGATAGGGAGAGCGGAGCAAGAAATAGGGTTTTTTGAGATTCTGAGGGAGGAAGTAAGTGAGTGAGAGAGAGAGAGCGGCACGGTTTTTGGCTCTATGTATGCATTTCGGTTTTCAATTGTTTGGGTTAGAGGGACTGATTAGCAATATGCTTGCCTTGACTAGGCTCTTCTAGTAGCTTCTTCTATGTAGATAGGGATCAAATTATATGCCCAATTTTTGGTATAAAAATTATATTCCCATTTTAATTAGCTGAAAATAATATAAGGACATTTTTATTTTTGGTAAATATTATATTTTAACCAAATTAGAGTGGCAAAACCCAAGCAAAAATTCTCAGGGCAACCAAAGCGCACAGGCACAAGGGGTTAAAAGTGGCATTTCATAAGTAGTGTCATTTTGGGGAGAAACACTTGTGTTGGAGGGGAATAGCAAACACGTTTTTTTTAAACCTAGCTCACAAGAAGAGCTCCTCCAGCCATGCACCAAAACCGGGCAAAAGGCCCCTCGGGCTAGCCCATTGCAGCTCCAGCGGAAGAAATGAAGCCCGGGCAAGTGGTGGGTCCTACGTACCTGGGCAAGCCCACGGGCAGATCTTGCCTGGGCTGAAGCCCGAAGGCGCTGACGTCAGCCCTCACCAATTCAAATTTTTTTTACCGTTGGCGCGTGGATTTCACGCGCCAACAGTAAAAAAATTTCACTTCCGCTAGCTGACGTCAGCGCCTGCAGGTCCCAACGGGCAGAAGCCACGTGGCGCTTCCCCAGCTCTCCGATCATTTTTTTTGCAGAAATCCGACGATCCTCATTTTTTCCGCCAAAAAAATTGCAAAAAAAATCGAAAAAAAATTCAAATTTTTTTAAAAAAAATACCAAAAAATTATGTATTTTTTTCCCTATAAATACCTATCAATTTAACTTACCTTCCACACCAAATCTTCATACCAACTCTTCTCCTTGCAATATTTTTTCCATTCCACTCACATTTTTCTACAAGTTTCCATTTGTATCAAAAAAACAAATGGCCTCTTCTGTCGAAGCCCGAGGCTCTTGGAGTACTGTTGAAGATGTTGTGTTGTGTGAGTGTTGGGTGAAAGTTAGTCATTGCCCTATATCCGGCGGACTCGTGGGAGGGCCCTGTGAGGTTGACACGAGTCCTTAGATATTTCGGGCGGGTGCTTCGAGGTTGATTGTGCAGAATCGGTAGGGGGCACCGATTGTAGACGGGATGGGCCTGTAGCAGCTGTTGGTAGCTTTGAGACAATGCCATCGGTAGCCGATACCGATTGTTCAAGGCCTTGGGTACTTGGGTGAGTCCCCATGATCCACGTGTCGTTGTATGAGTAGAGGATCAGATATGGTACAAACACTTACATATTTATTGTTTTGTTGCATAATCATTTTATTTATTGCCATTTATAAAATGTTTATAATTTGTTGCATAATCAATTATTTTCTTGCATTTCCAAATTATTTATATTTTCTTCTATATTCTTTTTTTTTTTGTTGCATTTGCAACTATTTATTTTTAATAGATCATACAAGCACAAATGTGGTTCGGTGCCATGGGGCAAGGCAAAAAAAGTTTCGTGCATTTCCAATGTTGGGAAGTTGTGAAGGATTGTTCGAGATTCAAAATTATTCCCACCGGTCCTCCGGTTGTGTTGAATGAGACGCTCCACGATTCACCATCAACCGATTCGCCATTGGACTCCCCAATGGATCAAGACTCACCACTCCCACGTGCGCCAAGACCTATTGGGAGAAAGGCGGCAAAGGCAAAGAGAGGGAGCACTTCGAACAATGAATGTGCACAATTTTTGGAGCAAATGGCTAAGAATAGTGCACTGAGACTTGAGAGAGAGTTGAAACGAGAAGAAATGGACAAGGCACGACAAGAAGCATTTTCAATTCAAAGGGCGAAGGCAGAAGAACAAGACATGGAGGATAGAGAGATGAAAATCATGTCCATGGATACCACCCATATGTCTCTTGACACAAAGTCATACTGGAAAATAAAACGAAGGGATGTGATGAGAAGAAAACTTTTCCAAGACGACGGACCTAGCAACACGGATTGGTTAAATGATGAAAACCATTAGGTTGTATTGAAACACATTTGCCATATGTTGTATTGTTGTATTGTTGGATTATCCTTTAATTTGTTGTATTGTTGTATTATCCTTTAATTTGTTGTATTGTTTCCTTTTTATTCAATAAACAAAGCATTAAATAATATTACTATTTATTAAAAACTTTTGAGCATCAACACAAAGATTAATTAAAAACACACCTTAATTTATTGCAAACAACACACAAAACAAACCATACATAAAAGCATAATAATTAAAACAAGCATAATTCCAAAAAACACCACACACAAAATAAAGCATAATTAAAAACAAAGCATAATTCCAAACAAAGCACTAATTTTGTCTTCATCCATTGTGATTGCCTTTCATCTCCCACAAGTGCTCGATCAAGTCAATATGACGCCTCTCATGAACATACGAAGATTGCATTGCTTGGTAACGATCAATCATGGGGTTGTTGAATCGACCATCTCGAACTAACGGTTCGTGCTCCAATAGATGTCCATTTGGTCCCATCGGCCTTTCATAAATTCTTGTCAAGGCCGTGTTTATGGGATCCGGTTCGTGCTCCTCTGGAGCTTCATAATCATACTCATCCTCCACAATCATGTTATGGAGGATGATGCAAGTCATCATAATGCTTCGCAGCACCTCTTCATCATACATCCGAGCAGCGGCCCTAATAATAGCCCAACGAGCTTGCAAGATACCGAAACACATTTCCACGTCTTTCCGGTAACCTTCTTGAAAGGCAGCAAAGCTTTTTTCCTTCTGGGATTGAGGATTCGGAATTGTTTTCACGAATGTCGTCCACCTAGGATAAATTCCGTCGGCAAGGTAGTACGCACCAGAGTATACAGTGTTGTTGATTTGGTACGTGATCTGGGGAGAATGACCTCGCAATACATCATTAAACACTGGAGATTGACCAAGCACATTGAGGTCATTTTGAGATCCGGCCACTCCGAAGAAGGCATGCCAAACCCAAGTGTCGAATGAAGCTACGGCCTCCAGAATTATACTTTTTTGGCCCTTTCGATTCCCATAATCTCCTTGCCAAGCTGTTGGGCAATTCTTCCACTGCCAATGCATGCAATCGATGCTTCCAATCATTCCTGGGAAACCTCGAGTCTCAGCTTTTTGTAGAAGCCTTTGGAGGTCCCTTGGAGAAGGTCTGCGAAGGTACTCCCTTGTGTAGAGATTTTCTACTGCATCACAAAATCTCACCAAGCACTCTAGGATAGTTGATTTTCCCATCCTTGCAATCTCATCCACCTGCTCTGCAGATGCCCCATAAGCAAGCATCCGCAAAGCAGCTGTAAGTTTTTGCTCCGGGAGAAGACCCAAAACTCCACAAGCATCATTCTTTTGAATGAAGTATGTGTCGTAATTACAAATATCATGCATGATTTTTTGGAACAAATGTGGCTGCATTCTATATCTCTCTCGAAACTTAGAAACAGGATATAAGGAATTTGGGATAAAGTAATCTTCCATGAGATTCTTACCCCGAGATTGCCTGCGTCTATCCACATTATGGGCACGACGACGGTGGTGTTGCCTTGATTCATTAAGCATAGCGAAGGCTACAAGCATTTCGTCCTCTTCTTCATCGGCCTCCTGATCTTCCTCAGCACGTCTCCGCCGGATTTCTTCCTCTTCTCTCTCTTGCCTCTCCAACACCCTCCTCAAGTTTGACATTGAGAGTAAAATATGTATTGTAAAATCTGAGAATTGAAGGAAAAGAGAAGATGTGGTGTGAGATGTATGAGTTGATGATGTAGTTATATAGAAGGATTGAGAAGATAGAGATGACACGTGGCGCAATTTTATAGGATGAAAATCTTATCTGAAATATGACATTATGATTTTTAAAAAAAAATTTGAAAACCTTATCTGACATGGGACACGTGGCGCAATTTTAGAGGGTGAAAATCTATCTAAAATATGAGATTATAATTTTTTAAATAAATTTGAAAATCTTATCTGACATGGGACACATGGCGTAATTTTATAGGGTCAAAATCTCATCTGAAATATGAGATTATAATCTTTTTTAAAAAAACTTAAAATCTTATCTGACATGGACACGTGGCAACCAAATATATTATCCGAAAATTTTATCTGAAAATGTTATCTGAAATTTGAGGTGATAATTGTATAATAAATAGTGACACGTGGCAACCGAAAATATTATCTGACAAAATTAATTAATGGTTTAAAGTATTAAAAAATTGAAATAAAGTACAATGAATAGTATTTGCCCTTGCCCTAGCCTTCAATGGGTGGAACCAACTAAGGCAAGGCTGACACTATTCACATGAATAGTGGCAGCCCGTGCCTTGCCTTAGCCTTGCCTTTGCCTTCATGGGTGGACTTGCTCGAACAGAGGCCGACGAATCATGGTGTATCACGCATGATAACTATTTCATTTGACATACCGTGATTGGTCAAGAATAACAAAGCTGTGTTATCTCCGTTTCACACAAGTTTTTCTAAATTTTGATCAAAATGGTTCTAGCCCCTCACTCCTTGCTCCTCCCTACACTCAAAATCTTGTGTTTCAATTCTCCATCTTTTAATATCGCTTGTATTAAAAATTATTTTAAAAAGAGGAAAATTAAAAAGACATGCTCAAACAACAGTAATGTAGAAAACATAAAAAATGAACTAAGGCCAAATGGTCCGAAATCTAGCCATAACCCTTCTTAACTTTTTTAGTTTTATTTTTGGCATAACGGCTTCTGAGCTGATTTCAATATGACCAGTTCTGGAAAGTTTGAAAGTTTTGTTGGGTGTCCAAAGCAATTTTGTGTGTCCACGGACCACTCTTGGGTTGGTTCTAAACAGAACTCTTTTTTTAACAATTATTCCATTCCAGGGAGCATTAGCCCACTTTGTTTTAAAGAAAAAGCCCAATAGCAAAGCAAGCATCCTCCAAGTCCGATACAGTCCAATTCTACTATTCCATTACTCTTTCTTTTCTTTTTTTTTTCTTTTTCTTTTTGATCAGGTAAAGGAAGAATTTGATTCCAACAAATCCAAAGTACAAATAGGTTCTCGACCCCAAAAAAAATGTACAAATAGGCTCTATAACATTTTCAGATTTTTCCCATTTTGTTTTCTACCGGAGCCTCTCTTCTTGTGACTGTTTATTTATGTTTTACGTTGTCACTTCTCAAAGATATTCTTAACTCAGTTCTTTGAATAAGATTTTAATGTGTATATTTTATAACAAAGAGAGAGAGGGAGAGAGAATTATAATTTCTTCTAGGAGGAAGCTATTCATGGTTTTGGTCATGGAGACGAGGAGTCTATACCTTTTTTTCCCCCTCTTGCTCTAAATATTCCAAACAATATTTTCTTTCCATAAGGATATTTTAATATCTTTGTCAATTCTATCAAGTTTTTGTCTTGATTGTCATCTTCCAAGAGTGTGAAGTTCAAGTGAAAACGACACTAAATGTACTAGTGTATTCTTTTTAACTCACTAATTGTCATGATTTCTTCTAACAAAATGAAAACGATAGACCAAATGATCATTGACGATTGAAGTATTTATGCAAGAATGATAATCCAAAACGAAAAATAGCATATTTCATATCATGTACATGTATTAAATTTAGGATGGTAATTTTCCCACTTCCCTTTTATTCACCTACACTCCCTTTTATTTTTTTAATATTTTTTATTATAAGATAAAAGAGAGTGTAAGTGAAAAAAGAGGAGTGAGAACATACAATTTTTTAAAAATGGAGTATAAGTGGATAAAAATGGAGTGGGAAAATCAGTACACACATTAAATTGATTAACTAAATTATCTTTCCCCTCAACCCTATGGACACGCATTAAATTCATTAAATATTATGTTTCCCTCAACCCTCAACCCTTGGAGTTGATTCAGTCCACCGAGAGATTATAAAATATTACTGTAGTACGGTCACGTGGTACATTTTGTACACGTGTTATAATATAAGTGGATATTTATAGATACTATTTCCTAAAATGGGGGAAAATAAACTCAGTCATCCATTTATATTATAACACATGTATGTACTACGTGGCCGTATTGCCTAGTATTCTATAATTTCTCCAACCCTTGTGATATGCAATAGCCAACGAGACAATTGTTTTCAACTTTGAGAGGAGAACAAATTCAAATTTGAGGTGACTTTTTTTTTGGGTGAAAAGACGGGCCATGCCCAAAAGAAAACACTAAACTACATTGTTTTCAACTTTGAAAGGAGAACAAATTCAAATTTGAGATGACTTTTTTCTTTTTTGGGTGAAAAGATAGGGCCTTGCCCAAATGAAAACACTAAACTACAGTACAAGTAATTTGAGGTGACTTTCAGTACAAGTAATAGGAATGGAAATAAAGAGAATGATTTTCATTCATGACTTCTAATGCGTTTGCTTACATGATTGTGGGTTTTACCTAAAACTCTTTAATCAAATACTCTAAAGAATGGGAATCAGATCAACTATCCCCCTTCTAGTTGATCTGATTCCCATTTCTTGTTTATTCTATTCCATTTATTCCCATACACATTACTAGTAAGTAAACATTATGAGACACTTTAATTAACAAAGTTGATATCAAAATGTTTCATGTTTGACAAAAATTTCTGCAAAGTTGGGGACACCATAGAAGTAAAATGCCCATTTCTACATATAAGGCGTGCAAGAAAAGGCTAAAAAGAGCAAGGTTGCCCGGGGGGTGGGGAATTATATTCTTATGGGAATAAACCTATATTGGTTTATCTTTATACGCAACCAATTCGGAGGCCAATTAACCTCTTCAACGACTAAAAGCTATTTTAAATCACGTGAAGCCCACAGTACCTAAATTACAACAAAGATTGATGCAAATTACAAACACTTAAAGAAAACCAACATGATTTTATTTCGTCCGACATTTGAAAGAAATAGCCTGGTGTCAATGGTGCCATCAAAAGCACCACACACACGATGTAACCTTCAAATTGTGCAACACAGAACATAGACAACACTTACTTACTGACCAATATGATCTAATCAAGATTAAAAAATGCTAATCAAATAAATTTATATAAAACAACAACAATAGCAAATAACAACATCTCCAAATCTGTGAACTCAGGAACCCTAATAGCGATCTGATCTTTGCATTGTTTACTCAATGGAACATGACAGAAGCCCAAAATAATAGCAGAGCAGAAAACCCAGTCCACGCTATCTTGCTTGAGCCTGCATTGTCCCCTGCAAGATTAAATAAAATTCATATAGCAAACGAGGGTTAGCTCAGTTGACCAAGACAGTAAGTCCGGATCCCTTTCAAGTTGGAACCAAATTCAAACATTCATTTCCGTAGATTAAATTAATTTAAAATAATTTAAACTATAGCTTTTATTTATAAACAAAATAATAATATTCATATATAAATTGGTTTAGCAAGCAAGTTTCAGCCTATTTCAAGTAATAATTTTCAACAATCTGAAAGGGCATGACAGACCGTCGACTGCTGAGGACGAAATGGTCCAAATATTATTTTGCGGTCGAACTCTGAATTTTCAGGAGACAAAAAATACGTATGCCAAAAGGTTGAGGACTTGCTTTTGAATCTTCTATGGGTCAGTCAAACTTGGAAGGCACCAACTAAATGTCAAAATTAAATTACACCCGAACACGTGGCATGGATCTAATCAGCCATCTCTCATTTTACCTACTGATTCTCACTGGTCCAATCACACAAGAATTGCAAAACAGGGGAAGTGAAGGCAATGGAAAATGGTCCGAGACCAACTTTAGATACCAACTTGTGTACCAACTCTCTAATAAAGCGTGGGACCCATTGTATTAGTGGGCTCTACCTTTATTAGAGAGTTAGTACACAAGTTGGTATCTAAAGTTGGTCTCCCTATCATAACCCAAAGGCAATTCAAAGTTTTTATATTTTACAAGGGAGCCGATTTTCCCACTCCCCTTTTCTCCACTTACACTCTCTTTTCTTTTTAAATACTTTTTAATTAATTTAGTCAATTTTATTTTATTTATTTCCTATTCTGACCTTACCTGCATTAATTTCTTGCTACTTCATTTTTATATTCTTTTCTTTTCTTTATACTTAATTTTCCTTCTTCAATAATTTTTTTTCAACTGCTCCACCACTCTTCTCTCTCAACACCGCCCCACCAACCACAAAGCCACCGTACCCTTTTTTTTAGCTGACCCTCCTACAACCACCACTCTCTCCACCTAAACCCTTATTGAAAAAAATACTCAAACCCCCCACGTCTCCACCCCTCATCTTCTTCTGCCTCGCTGCACCACCGCCCAGCCCCCTTCCTAATACCCACCCATAAGCCGACCCACAAAGGCCAGATCTGGCCTCCCCCATCCCAGTGCCCCCAGCTTCATCATCACCGCCAACCCAACCGCAAACAAACCACAAGAATCGCAGTGACCACCCAAGCCTCAACCTACACAACCAAATCGTATCACAGCGTTGATACTCACAAAATTGAATTTGCCACCTCTCTCCCAGCACCTCATTAAGTCGAACTCGCACCTATTTCAAAAACTAATTCTCTACTCTATATGACCATGAATGAAGTTGAGGTTCCACCCCAAAACCAATTGGCAATGGGGGGAGTAGCCCAACTCCTTATAAACCCAGGCTAGATCCCTTAACATTTCAATGTGGGACAAATACTCTCAACAGGAAGTTGAGGTTCCACCCCAAAACCAATTGGCAATGGGGGGAGTAGCCCAACTCCTTATAAACCCAGGCTAGGTCCCTTAATATTTCAATGTGGGACAAATACTCTCAACACGCCCCCGCACGTGTGACGAACTTTCAAGCCTAACACGTGGACAACACATATTAGGTGATGTGGGAGCACGTGTGGCCGTTGGGCCCAACATGTGAAGCCTTGCTCTGATACCATGAATGAAGTTGAGGTTCCACCCCAAAACCAATTGGCAATGGGGGGAGTAGCCCAACTCCTTATAAACCCAGGCTAGATCCCTTAACATTTCAATGTGGGACAAATACTCTCAACACTTATGGGATTTGGCTGGGGGTGGTGGTGGACATCGAAGAGGAACATGAGCTTTGGAGAGGTTGTGGCGAGCTTGTGTTGTTGGGGCTGGGCATGTGGGTGGGGGAAGAAGGAAAGACATAACAGAGAGGGAGACGAGGTGGGTGGTGGTGAGTGGTGGGTTTTGTGTGGTTAGCTTGGGAGAGAAAGATCAAAGATCAATTGCTTAATATTACAAGAGCTGAAATTAAAGTCACAAATTTTGTTTTTTGTTTTTTATTGTTATGTTAACTTTTCTTAATTTCAATTATATAAAAAAATCTTAATTTAGGTAAGGGTAGAGTAGGAAAGAGAGAGAATAAAAAAGAGCAAAATTGATTAAAAAGTATTAAAAAAGGAAAGGGAGTGTAAGTGGAGAAAAGGGGAGTGGGAAAATCAGCTCCCATTTTATAATGGACACGCTATCTTGAAAAACTCACCTAACTCACATCTGCAAACTTAAACCAAGACCTACCCAGAAAATTTTATTTTATTTATGAAAAAAACATAATAAAATAGAAACCCAGGATTTAAGCCTCAACTCTTGCTCATAATAATCAGTGACCATAAAATCCAACTCTGCTAATCAGGATTTAAGTTACCCAATTCAAATTGGGTCTTGAAGAAGACCCTAAACTCAGCTTATGATATAAAATAACAAACAACATTATCAGTGAGTAAAATTAAAACCCAACTCTTTTATCAGGATTTTCAGTTACCCAATTGACTTTTGAATTTGATGACCCTAAACTCAAATTTTGATGCAAATAATTATTTTGAATTTGGTAAACATAGAAGAGAAGTTTGGTTACCTGGGCTTGCAGGTGGGGATTGTGGAGTGGGAGCACCAAGGGCAGCTGCAAAAACCAAACATTAACACCACTTCAATCAAATTTGCTCGTTGAACAATTAAGATCTGAAAACGGTGTGTTGAGAAAATCCAATTAAACACAAGGGTGTATTTATCAGATATCTAGCCTCCGCTTACCTTTGCATTTGTTGACGTCCATTTTTTCGCCGCAGGCGGTGGCGATTCTGAGACCCGAAGTGGTGTTGCCACCATAAGCCTCGAGAAGTCCAGGCTCGAAGAAGAGGCTGCAGAGGCAGGTGAACTGGGTGGCAATGGTCTGTTTGATGCCGGTGCAACACGTGGCGGACGGAGGATTCGTGTTGTTGAGGTAGCTTGCGCAGGTCAACAGGCCCTGAGCACAAGCCTGCGTCGTATCGTTTGTCTGTCCGAAGCAACTGGTCATGCTCAACACCACAACCGCCATGGCCATGGCCAACATGGACATGTTGGAGCTGCCCATTTTCTTTTTCTGGTTTAGGTGTTGCTGCTTTTGCTCTCTTTGTGTTTATTGGAGAGAGATTTTGGTGGTGGCTTTGCTCTGCCTTCTGAGGGCCCCTGTTGGGGTTTTTATATAGGATATATACAGCTGTTGGCACACGCGTTTTGGTTCGTGGAGAAAATATGTGGCGCGAGTTTATAGAGCGTTGATCTACTCGCTGCTTAAACTATTATAATTATTGGTATAAAATTACAAGGGGGATTTGCTCAGAATTTTCGGCTGGATGCTGGAAAATGGCAGCTGTTCAGGGTATTATCACATAGTCAACATGGACGTTTACATTGGTTTAAATCATACGGGGTTTTTACTCATTGCTAATTGTTCAACATGGAAGTTTACATTAATAGTTTAAATCATACCGGGTTTTTACCTATTGCTAATTGATTTTGAGGTGGATGCTCAAAGTATCTCATAAGATAGAAACTTCAATACAACGGGAATAATACTTTTTGCTATCCCCGTTACAAAAAAGTTTTTCTGCTCCAATTGTGTTTTTTATTTTTATTTCAATTGTAGTTTATAGTTTTGAGAGTTATAATGATTAGGAGCCGATAACCAACCAACTCTTTTGGTTTAGTTGTACTTCTTTTATCAATGTTAAAAGAGATCCTAAGTTTGAAACCTTCCCACCCAATTAGGAGTCAGTAATAATAAACTAATTATGAAGAATATAATATCATAATTGAGTGGATATATCTTTAGCCACAACGAACCATTACAAATATGGGGAAAATCTAACATCAAAATTAAGACAATTTGGTGCACCTCCATTAACAATCATGCGGGACCAAAGAAACTCTGGCATAGGCATCCCCACTAAGATTGCAAACTCAAACAATCAAAAAGAGATAAAGCTTGAAAGAACCAAGCCAGAACAATACAAATAAAACTCTCACAAAAGAGATGTGGAAAACCCTCACAAAAGAGATGTGAAAAACTCTCACAAAGGAGATGTGAAAACTACACAAAAACTCGCGACTTATTCAAAAAATAAAAAAACCAAATGACACTGGATTGCAACCCCATAGTCACAAAGACAACCCATTGTACGCAAGCACCAATAGATACAAGATTCATACAAATCAACTTTCCTCTTTAACAAATAGAGGAAATACATCGAAAAAAGATAGATACGTAGAGATCTATAACAGAATTACACCATAAATGAGCCAACGAAATAGAGAGGGAGACAATGCCGAAGATAAAGACAAAGAGGATGGGAATGGGAGGAGGTGGAGATGACAAGAAAAAGAGAGGAAAAAGAGACAAAAAGCATGGTAGTCACACCCCAAAAAGAGAGGCGGCTAAGAGTTTTCTCTCTTAGGGTTTCTCTTAGGTTTTTTTTACAAGTAATGTATAAGTGATAGGTTTAGTTTGAAAATAAAGACTACTATAAGTTTTTAGATTTTTTTTCCTAAGTGAACAACTTAGTGTTTAGTTAACAATATATGTAGATAAATCTAAACATGACGCTATTAATAAATTATTGGATTAGTCTTGGGTCAAAATGATTAAATACACTAGTTAGGTTAGAGTTGATTAGCAATTGTCACCTTCCTTGTTAAATTAACAAAGGATTACTAAGACATATAGTAGGTAGATGAGTAAGATTTAACATATTTTGTTTGGTCATTAGAGAAGATTTACCCATATTCAATAGTTGCTTTGTACTTTTGTTTGTTTATCAATAATAACTATCGCTTAATGGATCATTAACAAATTAAATCGCATTAATTAATTAGTTAATTAATTAGATAGATAGACACCAACTCGTTTTTTTTCTTTCCTTGTTTCTTTAATTGTTTTCTACAAAATAGGGGAACAAACACTGGGATTGCACTAATGCGTTTGGTTATGAAATAAATGTACAATGAGGTTGACATAATAGATATTAATTTATAGTAAATCTAAACTGACCCTTGGATTGGAGTACCTTAAATTTTATCACCCCATTTTTTATATATATACACCTCGGAATTCTTTATTCGATCTCTACCTCTTCTAAAATCGATTGCCTAAAATAAAGAATGCAAAGACTTAGAAAATTAAGCCAAGTGAGGACGCGCTCATTATTTGCCGCCGCCGGATTATAATTACTGGGCCGGTTTGGTTCCATCTGTAGATGCAATTTGGGTCAATGCCTGAGTCAACAGGGACATGAGACAGAGCCAATAACAGATAGCAACTCATTTTCAACTTGTCAGGTGTCAAGTGGATTTTGTCCGCTACAAATTTAATTGAAATACAAAAAAATTATAGAATTTGAAACAAGTTACGCGTGAGGTGGGATCATGCATATTCTTATTATAACAATTTTTTATATATTAGGTTTTTAGGAGCAATAGTATTTGTACTTGTGCCTGATTCGTATTTTAGTTTAAAAATGGCTCTTGTTGTAGTCTCTCAACTCCACTTTTGTTAATACTATTAGTCATGCCGTTGTAATATGTTCCATTTTTAGTCAAATTTAAAGAGAAAATGGTTATTTTATGTAGTTTTCACTATTCGAGTTGCAGGATTAAAATGTAAGTCATTTATATATTCAAGGATCATTGCTCTTAGAAAAGCTAGAGGCTAAACTTGAAATGACCATTGTGCCTCTAAATTTAATAGAAAATTTAATGGATGACCAACATCACTAACGAAAATGAAGTTGATGGTCTACGTCAACCATTTTTAAAGTTAAAGAACCAAAATGCAAATTGGGCACAAACTCATGGACGATTGCTCTTAAAAACTCTTTTTATTATTATTTATGCAATAAAATAAACTTCGCATAAACTTTTAGTTACATGATTTGATGATTAAGGAAAAAACAAAGCTGGCTCTTAAAAATCTTTTAGTTACCATAAGCTAAACAATAAATCATTAATCTTCAATTTTATTTTTTATTTTGCAATGAGAAGAACAAACAAACAAAGCAGAAAATTAAGTGATCCTTTTATTGAAACAATCAAAAGATTCTTATTTCATGGATCTCCTTTTTTTCGGTTTGACGAAATGTTATTTGATCAAATTTTAATTGTATATATATATGAATGACTTTTCTTTTTCTTCTAGAAAATGTTTTGAGTGAGAGTGGGTCTAAGTTTTAGATTTTAGCGTTTGTTTTCGTGGGTTAAATTTAGTAGCTTCGAAGAGCTTTGAAGTTTGACCTTGACTCACTTGGGGCTTCGTTTAGGTTTTAGTTTAATGATTAGAAGTATGAACATTTGAAAATGACCAACTAGAAAACCATTAGATATTCTCATTATACCTTAATTTCAACGTGAAATAAATAGGATCTAATAACCAAAGAAATGTAGACAGGTTGTTCCATGAAGATTAACAATATGTTAGAATTCACGATAGTTTCTTCGGACTTTCGGTATGAGTTTTTCAATTTTGAGACAATCATTTCTTCTAAAATTTTCAAATAGTAATGGATGTTGAAATTTTTGATATTTTTTGAAAAGAAATTAGAAGGACATTTTATGAGTTGGAATTGAAATCCTATTATTCCGATTTGATCCGTCCAAAAATAAGGCCTAGTCGCCATAGTTCATCATTGAATTTTCATTTTTCTAATGGTCTTTTGAGAGAGTTTTGTGGGTTTGGGACCTCAATTACTTTACAAAGTGACACCCAAATTAAAGCTACCTAAAACTTAAAACTCAAATTAAAGCCCAAACAAATCAAGAGGGTCCACAAAGATGCTTCTAATTATTGAACCTAAGTCGGTGGTGGAGAGAGTTCAGATAACGGTTGTGTTTCCCGCCATAAATATCGTTCTATTTACCTTCTGTGCCACCCAAACGGATAACAATACAAAACTAGATAGCAGAAACCAGAGGCTGAGCAGAGCGCTTCAAAACCAATGGCCTCTCTAAGCATTGGCATCGCCACCACCAGCTCAGCCTTACTTACAAGGCCGACACCGCGTAGTTCGAGGCCTACAAGAATTTCCTGCATTGGATGGGTACCCTTCAAACTCTGCTTCTCAAAACTTTCATGGAAATTCAAAGCATTGAATTTAATTTTTTTTTTTAATCAACTCTTCAGGTTTTTTTTTTCGAATTTAATATTTGTTTGAATTAATCTAAGGAAGGACCCAGAAGGTGTATTGGGGCCGCCGCAGACGGGCCATCTGGCCCGAATAGAGTTCAAGAGGCGGCTGGAAAGAGACGCTGATGCTCGAGAAGCCTTCGAACGCCAAGTCATTGAAGAAAAAGAGCGCCGTAGAGCTCTTAGAGAAGTAATTTGCGAAATGGGTTTTGAATTTTCATGAATTGGGCCTTTTTTTGTTGTTAAAGAAATAATTTTTAAGTTACTGTGTTTTGTGTTTGATTGTTTTCTAGTCTCGGGTTGCGCCCAATACTGCGGAGGAGTTGATCGAGTACTTTCTCAACACTGAGGCACGGGAAATTGAGTTCGAGATTTCGAGGTTGAGGACACGGTTAGTGCTTTAAAGTTTAAACCCATTTCTGTGTGAAGCCTCAAGAGAATGGCAAAGTAGGAAATGCATGCCATCTGTTTGAGGAGAAGCTTAAATGAATGTTAAAAATGATGGCAGCTCACATTTTCAGTGTCTGTGTTTGGTTCTATTGCATATAGCTTAGAAATAGAAATGTTGTGATGGAGAATATTGTCAGTCGATGGTTACATATTCTTTACTTGTTGGAGTTGTATCGATCTCAATTTTCCATCAGCTCCACAAGGTACATTTGAGCTGCATGTCAGATGATAGGAGCATAGGGTAGAACTTGCGCTTGCAAAAACCAGCTTACAAGGGAAGGGTGCACAAGAGCTCACATACTAGCCCGAGATCTTTATTTTTTCAATGTGGGATATTGGGATTCTAAAATGGAACATATATGGACCTAATATAATGAATGGTTAAGATCCATATACCACATGAAGTGTAGGTTTTTCAATTCTAGGCGATATGCACCACGGTTAGTAGAGAACTGACAATAATTAGAAAGTCGTTTCATTCAGAAAATGCAGTTATCAATATTTTTTGCATTTACTTTTTATGATTTAGTTATTTTTTTACTTTTTGATATTTAATTTTCTTAAG